CGTACTCACACTCTCTCAGTAGACTAGCTGAGCAGATAAATGGAACAATGCCCAACTCCCCAGATGGGCATGGGGGCACTCCTGGCACCCATGTCACAGAACAGAATTCTTGATCAATGTCTTGGTGAGAACCTACCAGAGGAGTTAAGACTGCGTCCAGTACCCTTCTCGGTAGCAAATTGGCTAGTCCCACACAAACAAATGGCTCATAATTACTCAATCGAATCCCTTTTTGAAATTTTCAACATGCAATTGAGAACAGTGGGTTTACTTTTTCCCGACCCCATGATGATCGATGGTGAGAGACAGACAAGGGAGGGGGTGACCTGTTTTCACAGATCCTCAGGCAGATGCCTGCCTGGCTGCATCGCTTGGGAGCTTAGATTCGTCCTAACTAAGGTGCACCCGTATAAACCCTGGGCCTGGTCACCTCCAAGTGGCGGTGAGTCACCGTTATGCCAATGATGAGTCGTGGAACCTCAGGTTGGGGCCTACTCAGACTCCATAACCGAAGTCGTGGAGCCACACAGAGGAGAGGAGAGGGCAGGCCCTCACCCTCCACACTCACACACTTTCACCATTCACTCACTCAGAGTTTAAACAATCTATCCAATTCCTGACTAACTCCCAATTCCTGACTAATTGCCTAAGGGAGCTCTATGGCTTCCCAGGAGGTGATCAAGCTCCCCTTCCACTCATTTGGAGTGGGCCTGACTGATAGGGGGTCGACAAAGACGACTGACCCTGACCCATTTTGACAAAGACAAAGACAACAAATGTGGAAGGGGAAAATAAGAAACCAACAGAAAAGGCAGGTGAATGGCCAACGGTGGCCTTTGGTTGCCGTTCTAACATATTTATTGCCTTCAAAGTCTCGCTAAAGTGATCAGGGCCAAAATCATCCCCCATGAAGTGTTCTGGGTGATGATGGCCAAGCATATCAGGAATTCTTTCTGTGGTTGATCCTCCATCCCCTCATCATTCATTATGCTCTGAGCTTCCGCATCCAATCTCTTCAAAGATCCCCAGGTGATAGGAGGAGCCATCTCTGTCTGAAGACGCCTCCGCTGGGGTGTGTCCTGCAGGTTCACACCTGCCATCTTCTTCTGTATGGACCCGATCGCAAACTCGCTCACCATTGTCTGTGCCTTGAAATTCATGTTAGGGCTTCATCCGCTCTGCTGGCAGCCACAAAGGTCCTGTAGGGAGAGAAACATAAGCATACCCTCTTCCCCAAGTTAGTAGCTCTACCGGACCCTTCCATATGGAGGACTCCTGGTCCCGATACCAGACTTTAGGGTGAGGCTTCTTTTCTTGAGGAATATAGTGCCTTTCAGCAGCTGTCTCCTCATGCTGCTGATTCAAAAATTTTAAAGAATAGATTGCCCTATTCAGTCTGTCTCTAGGGGTCATGCCTCTACTCCCCTTTTTTTGTTTTAACAATATAGCCTTTAAAGTGGAGTGAGCTCTGATAAAATAGTAAAAACAGCTGCTCATCCCTAGCAGTAAGAGCAGCCTTAGGAATTTTTTGACCATGTTGAACTGCATATTGAGATCAGTAAAAACAGTCATTGCATTCTCCATAGGAGTAAAAGAAATAACTCTAAAAGGTTGACACTGATCATGCTGAAAAATTTGTATCAGCTTATCACCAGGAAGTCTATACTTGATTTCTCCCACAAAATCAGCCATAGTTACCCGACCATGTATGCTATGATGAAGATGGCCCCTTAAGGTTGTGATGTCCTCGGTGAGTGTGATGCGGGCAGGGCGGGGGGCAACAGCGGCAGCCTGGCAGCCATGCAGTCGTCCTAAGGCGGTGGCGGCAGGAAGTCGGGGGGCATTGTCATCTCACCGTTCCACCTGGAGGAGCTCACCAACTGCCCAGCCTAGCAGCTGATAACAAACCAGAGGATAGACATCTAGGGGTCATACAGCGACCACGCACCTGGAGCTCGTAGTTTGCTACGGCTTCCACAGATGCGCTCCCACAAACAAAGAACAAAGACAAAACAAACCAGACAAATGCAACCTAAGGTTGCCCAGACCAGGACCCCCAGACACCGTTGTTCCGCTGCGTCCGAGGTTCCGCTGCGTCCAGCCCTCTTTTGAGTTCTAAAGGTAACATTCCACAGACAGATACCAGATTCTTACCTCCCCGCTGGAGGTCCAGGTGGCTTGTCATTTTGGGATTGCAGTTTTGGGAGGAAAACACTCCGCCTCCCTGGGACCTCGGACAGAGACGGGAGTGTCCTCGCCTGGGGCGTCCGGGGTGTCCAGCAGCAACTCAGCCTGAGTCGATCTCACTGGAGCCTCCAAATGTAACCGGGCGACCTGCGGAGACGACCACCAGGGACTCAGATCAAGATTTAGGTGCCTTTATTAAGCTGGCCCGCGACTACAGTCACAGCACCCTGCCGAAGCAAAGGCTGAAATGCAGCGCCAACTGCAGGAGTTAGTGTTTTATTTGCAAAAACCACAAAGTTACAAAACCTTAGTTCCCAACAGAGTACAGTATCAGTACCTTCCTATCTATGTGTTCTAGGAACAGAGAGTACAATATGCTGGGAAGGGGCCATGAGACCACATCTCAAGGCCTGGCCTGATGTCAGTACCTTCCTATCTATGTTTTAGGAACAGACAGCACAGCACGCCCCATCTGGCCAAAGCGCCAGATATGCAGCCCAGCACAACCCTCAGCTGTTTGCCTCCAACATCTGGTTCATCTCCCATACCATTGACCTGCCTTCCTGGAGCTCCTCACCTTCAAGATGTCTGTGGTCCGCTTGACCGTCCACAATATGACTTTTAAAAAAAGTCATATTGGTTTGATTTTCGTTTCTTTTTGATGTTCCTCTTTGGCGGATGACCCACAGCAAAAGAACCTTAAAAGAAACTGGCAGGCCCTCCTAGCCACCTTCCTCCAGGCCGGGGAGCTTCTATGGGCGGCTCCCTCACTGCTACTGGTGGTGGTGCTGCTGCTGCTGGCTCCGATCTCAATGGTATTGATCTTGTCTGTGCTTGAGATGGAGTTATCGATGGTGGATTCTGAGGAAGAGGCGGCTTTTGTTTCTATGATGGGTTTGGCAGGCACCCTAAACCTCAGGCAGTTTGGGGGGATGGAAGGCTTTTTGGTCTTTCTATTAAGTGGCTGACCAACATCTTGGCTCGAGCATGTGGTACTGGAGCTACTGGTGTAAGTGGTACGGAAGGGCTTTACCTTGATGTGGCGGCCTGGCATTTTCGTTTTCATTGTACTAAGAATAAGATAAGTGCCCATGTCACTGTCAAATTTTCTGTGTCCTAATGAATCCTGGATGGATTCCCTACTACAGCCGAGGTCACTCATTGTTCTTACTATTGCTGGGTCCACCTCAACCCTTGGAGGCTCCTTGTACGGCTTCATAATCTTCTTGTGGCCCTTATTCAGCCAACGGTCTTTCATCACCTGTTCCATGGTTGGTCTTTGGCTAGGGTCGACAGTGAGTAATTTTCTTAAAAGTTTTTGAACCCTCTTTGACAATATGGATGGTACCTGGTAATCTCCACTTAGTATCTGCCTCTTCACCTTGGTAATGTTGTCCCCCTCAAACGGTGTCACCCCTGTCAGCATCCGGTATAATAATACCCCCAAACTCCACACGTCGCTTTTTCGGCCATCATAGGTACAATCCTGCAACATTTCTGGGGCCACATAGGCTATGGAGCCACATAAGGTGGACTGCATATG